AGTGTGTCCTGCTAACCCAGAGAACCTCCGCTGGTCCCCAACATTCTAGTCAGCCTGGGCCATCTGCTCAGCCCTGCCCGCATGCAGGTCATGCTTTCTGGGTGAGGCTGGCTGCAGCTCATCTCTGTGGGGCAAGAGCACTCTCAGGCTCCAAAATACGCTGTGGCTTTGCAGAAAGTCACGTGGCCCCACTGGTTTTCTGTCCCAGGAAGTCAGAGAAGCTAACAAAAAGGCTCGTTACAAAGGGTTTTCCCCTCATTTTGGCACAGCTTGTCTCCCACAGGAAACGTGGGTGCCAATGTGGCCCATCTCTCAGTTGCTGTTGGCAGCCAGGTGTGGGGGCTGTGCTCCCCAGCAGCGTGGGGAAGATGGGAAACCATGGGGCAGGAGCACCTTAACCTGCCTGGGGCCTGATCTGCTCTCACAGACAGGCCCTGGGGCCGGAGGGCAGTCACATGCAGCCCCTCCATGTAAAAGTTCCCGCTCCATCAGATTATCCGTATCTCGTCCTGCCTCGCCATCCTGCCTCGCCATCCTGCCTCGCCATCCTGCCCTGGCCAGGATTCAGCGCTAAGCCTCTTACTGCACAGACCTGAGGTCACTGTGCAAGGGAACATCGCTTGGGGCACACTCAAATGTGGCGGGGTTGTTTTCTGCGGGGATTTTGCTCCCGATGGAGGCTGGCAGATGGCGGGATTAAGCAGCGGATCTGCTGGCAAGGCCCTGTGTGCCTTCCTGCCACTGCACACAGGAGAGGGACCCGTCCCGTGGCATAGGGTCTGAAGAAAGTCTTACCCTCCCACTCTTGGCCAGTGCTGCTCACTGCTCCTCTTGTGCCCACCAGCAGGGCTTGGTGCCTGCATACTAGTTTGGGGCAGGCAGGCCACTCTGCCCTGCCCTGCTTAAACAATGCACCTTCATTTGAGGTCTGTCAAGTGCCTTTGTAATTTATTTGAAATTCAAATCCTTGCCCAGGGCTGGCAGCTAGGGCGAAGGCTGCCAGGAGCCTGGCTGGTGCAGGGCAGGAGGAGGAGGAGGGAGGCACAGCTGCCTCCTGCTGCAGATGTGGCCCTGGTTCCCTAGCTGTGCTTCCTCAGCCCTCAAGGTTTTGGGGTACCAGAAGCTCAAGTGGTGAGTGTGGGTGCCGGGAATGCCTGGGCTCTGGCTGTCCCACTGCCCACAGCAGCTCTCTGGCAGCAGGCTGTGAGTGGCTCTCGTGGTGTTTGTCTTGGCCCTGGGGTTGAGGTGACTGGCCTGGGCTGGGTTTGTGTCCCAGCAGCGGGATCATGATGCTGGACAAGGCCTCTCCTTCCCAGCAGGGTACTGCACCCTCCCTCAGGTGTGCCTGTGAGACCCCACAGCTGGCAGCTGGGGAGGTGATATGGGTGCTGCCACCTCGGCTGTGCACCAAGGCCATGGGGAGAGCGTGCAGGGAGGAGGGACGTTGCCAGGGCAGCAGCGCGCCGGGTGGCTGCAGGCATGAATGGGAGGGCGTGCTGACCACTCTCTTTGTGTCCCCAGACTCCATCTGCCCCACAAAGGTGTCCTCCCTTGTCTCCTTGGCAGCCAGCCCGGCCGATGGGGATCCCGGAGGATAAGGCACCGGCCAGCCGTGTATAAGTACGTGGCATTTTTATTGGCTTGCGCAGGCTGTGCAGTTCCAGCAGCTGCTGCAGAGAGAGAGCTCTCCTTCCTCCCACCCACGTCTCACCCCACGTCACCCTCCTGTTCCTGCGCTAACCAAGGCCACCGAAAGCCAGGCTGCTGCCTGCTGCGTGTGTCACTAACCTTGTACCTGAGGGCAGCTCGCTGCCGGACTTCCTTCTGCTAATGTGACAGCCCCATCCTGCTGGTGGTCCGGTGAAGGCATGCTGAGGGTTTCTTCCTCCATATCCTGGCTGTCGTGTGCACGAGGGCTGTACCACCAGGCCCTATGTAGCTGAGCGCTTGAATGACCTGAGGTTGGCTTATCTGGGTGGCCAAGCAGCCTGAAGTTCAGTGGGTTAAGCATGCCAGCTGGGGTGGGAAGCCAGGACTGGGAGGTAACTGTGTCTGCTGCCATGTGGTTGTTATGTGGGGGCCAGCACTGAAACTAACCATGGTGGGGGATCATGAGTATTCCCAAGGAGGTGAGGGGATGGGGCAGGTTTCCCTGCTTCCTGTGCCCTTGTGGCCTGTGACATATTGGCCTGCTAATGGCTTGTTTGCCATTTCTTGGCTTTTGAGCTTTCTGCGTGTTGCCCAGCTTGCTGCCTCTAATCACAAGGTGTCCAGCTCTCCCAGCCCTTAGGCACAGCAGCACTGCACTCCTGCAGGTGGAGGTTCGGTAGCAGCGCCAGTATGGCCGCTTTGCTCCTGCAAACTGGTGTTAATGGGGTTTGGAGAGGCCGAAGCACTGTGGGTTGAACACCAGAGGGCATGGTTGCTCTTCTGTGCTGCACACAGAAGGAGGGCTACTATAGAGGGAAGAGCTCTTAAGGCTCCTTTCGTGGTGCTTACTTGGTCTGAGTACTGTGGGACGACCCTTCTGCAGGCCCTATCTCCTTGCTCATGGGCCATTGCTGCATTTTTTGTCCTCTTTTCTGCAAGGGGAGCACCCAGTGCAGATTGGGAAGACAAAGGTGGCAGAGCAGTGACCAGCAGCTGGGCCTTCATGGCAGGAGCTCTTCATGCCCCTCATGGCTCATGGTGGGAGCGCCTGTTGTGCAACCCATGCTTTCTGAAGCAGAAAGGCTGGTGCTGGGGATTGCTGGGAGCAATGAAGCAGGGTGAGCAGAACAAGGTAGCCCTGCACTTAGCAGCCTGCAAGATGCCAGCCCACATCCCAAAGGCCGACCACTCTGCCCCAGCAGTGCCATTTCGCCCAGGGTCTCCTCTGCTGTACAAGTGCCCATTAGAGGGTGTGAGGAAAATGGCAAGGGGATTTGGGGTTGAGGGAGAGAGAAAGAAAGGAAACACGTGAGGGCAGACATGCGGAGGGCAATCACAGCAAAAAGGGTGGAGGAAAAAATCAACTTCTCTTCCTGCCCTACCTTTTGTAACAGGGACAAGCTGACCTTTTGCAAAACCGAGAAGTGATGGGTTTAGCATTGCTGAGTTACTTGAATCTGTACATGGAACAGGGAGAAAAAGGCTGAGTAACACTGCTCCATGGTGAAACTGATGCCACACCACAGATGGGACTGGATATCAGCAACAGGGTCACAGTTAAGCCAACAAGTGCCTTTTGGGTCCATGAGTTGGAGCTTAGTCATGGGACTATAGTAGAGGCTCGTGACATGGGGACAGGATCCTGCCCCAAGCTCAGTGTGGAGTCCTGGCTTCTCAAAGTGCTGAGGTTTCCCCAGTTGTCTGGCCCTGCTCCTTTCTTGCAGGGCCTGGCCATGGCTGCTGCTTGCTGTGGAGTTTGGGTGGATTTCCCCCACGGAAAGCTGGGCTTAGGGCTGTGGGCAGCTCAGTGCTTGTTGACAGCGAGATGGACAGCTAGTTGCATAATGATTTTGGTTTCCTCTGTGGTAAATGCAGTGGGAAAACACTCTGTCAAACCCCAGCAAGCAGATCTCAGCAGGGATATCTCAGGACTCTGCTCCAGGGGCTTTGGTTGCAGCTTGCACTGCAGCTTCTGGGTCAGCTGAGGCACAGGTACCTGCCAGGGGGCAGCTGTCCCTCTGCCTGCTGCCACTGTGGGGTCAGGGCAGAGCTGGAGTCTGGCCCTGGGGAGAGAGGAGGAAGGAAGCAGCCTGGTACCGGGAGCTGCTGGATCACAGTAGGGAGAGGGCAGAGGCTGGTCTCAGCGAGCAGACACTTCCTGCCGCCTGCCCGGGTGTCTCCAGCTGCCAGCAGCACGAGAGCAGGGCTGAAAACAATCCGGCAGCAGTGCTGACATTTGTTAATGTGAACTCTCCCACCGCTTTGCAAAGACCTCGTGCTCCACCTGCGTGACAGAGCTGCTGCGGCGGCTCCCTCAGGCCTGGCTCCCCTCTGATTAATGGTTTCCTGTGATACCCATCGGCAGCACAGCCGCGGGAGGACGGCTGGCCCTGCCTGCCTTTGCCGCTCTGGCAGCGATCTCTGTTGACGTTTTGTTGTTGTCGTTTTACTGTCTTCTCTCCCCGGTCCCTGAAGAGCGCTGGGTACGGTCCAAGCACACGCAGGCTCGCACGCCCGCGCGCAGAAAGAGCTCCGGCTCTAATTTTAGCCATGAGATGTATGCAGGGAGTAAGCAGCCGGGAGGAGGCAGAGTGTGAAGGGATGAGGAGGTCCCAGCTGCGGGGCCGCCGTGACTCACCCTAACTGGTCACCAGCACTCACTGCTTTGGGATCTGGGGCTCCTTCCTTGTGGGCATCTCGGAGTGATTTGGCCATGGCACGGCCCTTGCCACAGTGTGGGGAGGGAACGGGCTCCTGCCAGGTCCTCGGGCTGCACAAAGGATGTCCTAAGGGGGGGGAATGGCTTTGGGGGAAACTGTTTCGTGCCACGTTTGCAGAAAGGGTTTGGTTGTGAAACATCATTTTGGGATGTCACCTCCAAGTGCCTGTGCCAGAGGGGATCCCCCTGCTCCCATACTTACCCAGCACTGCATGTTCTGCAGGGGCAAACCAGGGTTTCAGATCTGAGGGGACAAGCATCTGGGTGCCAGGGATCCCTTTTCTTCCTGGGCCCCTTTTTTGTGTGTGTCCTTTGCCGGGGGTGAGCCTGACTGGGGCTGTGCGCAGAGGAAGTGCAGTTGGTTATTTTAATGAGCACTGTCAGGGTTTGCAGAGCAGGGAGGAGGCGGAGGGAGCAGTGGAGCACTCGCTCGCCAAACTAGGACTTGGTTGGGGAGGGCTGGCCCGTCGCTGCTCCGCAGCTACTGCTGCCCGCTCATCACCTGCGGGGACTTCAGC